CAGGCACACACCACCATGCCGGCTAATTTTTTCTTTTTTCTTTTGAGATGGGAGTCTTGTTCTGTCTCCCACGCTGAGTGCAATGGCTTAATCTTGGCTCACTACAACCTCCACCTCCCAGGTTCAAGCATTTCTCCTGACACAGCCTCCTGAGTAGCTGGGATTACAGGCGCATGCCACCACACTTGGTTAAGTTTTGTATTTTTAGCAGAGACGGGGTTTCACTATGTTGGCCAGACTGCTCAGGTGATCTGCCCGCCTCAGCCTCCCAAAGTGCTGGGATTACAGGCATGAACCACTGTGCCTGGCCAAAGTTGAGTGTTTTTGCTAAATTTTAGTGCTCTTATAACAATTTGTATATTTGACAAGTTGACGGCCAGCAATTTCCAAAACTTTGCATTTTTAGATTTGGTATTTCTAATATCTTTAAATGTTCCTGTTCTACCATTTAATTGAGTCATAATTAAAAGCATTTTAAAAGGTAAGATTTGCGGCTGGTTGTGGTGGCTCATGCCTGTAATCCCAGCACTTTGGGAGGCCAAGGTGAGTGGATCACGTGAGATCAGGAGTTTGAGACTGGCCTGGCCAACATGGTGAAACCCCATCTCTACTAAAGATACAAACAAATTAGCTGGGCTTGGTGGCAGGTACCTGTAATCCCAGCAACTCGGGAGGCTGAGGCACAATAATCTCTTGAACCCAGGAGGTGGAAATTGCAGTGAGCCAAGGTCATGCCACTATACTCCAGCCTGGGCGACAGAGCAAGACTCTGTCTAAAAAAAAAAAAAGCAAGATTTGCAACAACAGTTTGTAGAATATGTTACCAATTGTATAATATACATTGTGTATGTGTGTGTATATGTGTGTATATATACATATATACACAATATATACATATATATATATATATATACACATCATACGTGTGTACGTGTGTGTGTGTGTGTGTGTGTGTGTGTTCAGATAGAGACTAATTCTGTCGCCCAGGCTGGAGTGCAGTGGCAAGATCTTGGCTCACTGCAAGCTTCACCTCATGTGTTCAAGTGATTCTCCTGCCTCAGCCTCCCAAATAGCTGGGACTATAGGCATGTGTCACAACACCTGGCTAATTTTTTTTTGTATGTTTAGTAGAGATGGAGTTTCACCATGTTGGCCAGACTGTTCTCAAATTCCTGAGCTCACGTGATCCACTCGCCTCTGCCTCCCAAAGTGTTGGGATTACAGGCATGCACCACATATTTATTTATATTATCATAGTTTATCTATGGAAGGACAGATAAGAAACCAGTAACTGTTTGCTTCCAGGGAAAAGAACTAGCTAGCTGGGGAACACAGATGAAAAGACTTTTTGCTATTTAACCCCTTGTGACTTTTCAATTTTAAACCATGTGAATATACTACCTAATAAAAAATTGAGTTAAAATTATTTTTTAAAACCTCCCCTTAAAAAGGCATTTTACCATAATTTTCTTCTTAAGATTTAACGTCTTTCCTTAAAGAGGCTTTGACTTGGGCCAGGCGTGGTGGCTCATGCCTGTAATCCCAGCACTTTGGCAGGCCAAGGCAGGTGGAACACATGGTCAGGAGTTCAAGACCAGCCTGATCAACATGGTGAAACCCTGTCTTTACTAAAAATATAAAAATAAGCCAGATGTGGTGGCCTGTAATCCCAGCTACTCATGAGGCTGAGGCAGGAGAATTACTGGAACCAGGATGTGGAGGTTGCAGTGAGCCGAGATTGCGCCACTGCACTCCAGCCTGGGCAACAAAGTGAGACTGCCTCAAAGAAAAAAAAAAAAAAAGCTTAAAAGCTTTGACTTTAGGTAACATTGTTGTATTTTCACCTTATTTATATGGTCAGCTTGCTCTCAGTTTAGATAGGATAACCTTTGAGTAACCTGGTAAATATTAAGCATTTTAATACTGCCAGATGGAACATTTACTCTTCTTTGTACAATAAATACAAATTGACAAACCATGAATGATTTGTTTTGCCTCACCCAGCAAATTAAATATTACCAACAATTTATTCAGCTCAAATTTGATCACTGGAAGAAAGATTATATAGAAGAACACTTAGGACAACCATTTTTGGAACAATATTTTTGTCTCTTTAAAGATTAGACACTGCAGCTGGGCACGATGGCTCATGCCTAAAGTGTAATCCTAGCACTTTAGGAGGCCGAGGCAGGCGGATCGTGAGGTCAGGAGTTTGAGACCAGCCTGACCAACATGGTAAAACCCCAACTCTACTAAAAACACAAAAAATTAGCCAGGCATGGTGGCGTGTGCCTGTAGTCTCAGCCACTTGGGAGGTTGAGACAGGATAATTGCTTGAACCTGGGAGGCACTCCAGCCTGGGTGACAGAGCAAGACTCTGTCACACACACACAAAAAAGATTACATAGTGCATAGGTGTTCTGAATACAACTCTCTTGGTGGAATGCCTGTTTCATTATATTGTAAGCAATCTGCCATTCAGTGAAATTAGTTTTTACTGGGATTATAAATTCAGAGTGGGCCTAATGATGAGTCAGTTTGCATGGTCACAGAATTTTAGCCTAAGAGAGATGAGGTACCAACAGCGGAGGGCTGCTGATGGAATTTCCAGTGAATTTCAGAGTTTACTCTCATCTAAAGGATGGCACCCCTTGTATTGGAATCCTTACTGAAGTATCTCCAGATTCCTGATTGTAAATTCTAAATATTGATACACTTACTGAAACATGAACATTGAGATCAGAGTCCATGAGGTGAAATTTTATGTTGGTTTAGCGGAGTTTTATATGTTCCAAGCCTGGTACAGTGGTGTATGCCTGTAGTTCCAGCTACTTAGGAGGCCGAGGTGGGAGGATTGCTTGAGCCCAGGAGTTCCAGGCTGCAGTGAGCTACGACTGTGCTTGTGAATAGCTACTGCATGCTAGCTTATGTGACACAGCAAGACCCCATCTCCAAAAATGTAAAAAAAAATTTTAAAAATATTCCAGTGCCGGGCACGGTGGCTCAAGCCTATAATCTCAGCACTTTGGGAGGCCGAGGTGGGTGGATCACGAGATCAAGAGATCAAAGCCATTCTGGCCAACATAGTGAAACCCCGTCTCCACTAAAATATAAAAATTAGCTTGGCATGGTGGCGTGAGTCTGTAGTCCCAGCTACTCAGGAAGCTGAGGCAGAAGAATTGCTTGAACCCGGGAGGCAAAGGTTGCAGTGAGCCAAGATTGCGCCACTGCACTCCAGCACTCCAGCTTGGCACCTGGCAACATGGCACCTGGTGACAGAGCAAGACTCTGTCTCAAAAAAAAAACCCAACAAAATTCCATAAAACCAATCTCTTATTCCTTGCCCCTGATTTTTACTTTTTGCATGGAGGGTATAGCATGGCAGGGAGGGATGAGCGAGCAGAGAAGCTTAGCAATAGTATATCTGCGAATGGGAAGGCCATAATGCTCAGAGCAAGGCAGCAACTGAGAAACGTGGGGGAGGAGGATCTGAGGTTTGTGTGAAGCTTTTCCAGAAAGGATGACACTTTGAATTTTGAAGGCAAGGGGGAAAGGAAGTTTTAGGAAAAAGTACTTGGCATCTATAAGGGTACAGATAACGGAGAGTCACTAGTTGAACTGGAGGCAGTTTGGTACGGCTGGTGCTTTGGCACAGAGTAAGGGTAATTTTAGGGAAGAGATGGTGGGAAAGGAGGATCACTTTGAAAGTCTGTAGGAGGTTGGGTGCAGTGGCTTATGCCTGTTATTCCAGCACTTTGGGAGGCCAAGGCAGGCGGATCAATTAAGGCCAGGAGTTCAAGACCAGCCTGGCCAACATGGCGAAACCCCATCTCTACTAAAAATACAAAAATTAGCTGGGCATGGTGGTGGGCGACTATAATCCCAGCTACTCAGGAGGATGAGGCAAGAAAATTGAATCTGGAGGCGAGGGTAGCAGTGAGCCAAGATCGTGCCACTGCACTCAAACCTGGGCTATAGAGTGAGACTGTCTCTAAATAAATAAACAAATAGAAAAGAAAGTTTGTAGGAGGCAGGCAAACCACACTGACAGCTGTTACTATCGTCCAGACCTAAAATCAGGGACTGGACTAGGGGAAATCCTTGTAAGGATGAAGAGGAGGAGATAGATTTGAAAGATATTTGGGCCGGGCGCGTGGCTCATGCCTGTAATCCCAGCACTTTGGGAGGCCGAGGCGGGTGGATCACGAGGTCAAGAGATCGAGACCATCCTGGTTAACATGGTGAAACCCCGTCTCTACTAAAAATACAAAAAATTAGCTGGGCATGGTGGCGCGTGCCTGTAATCCCAGCTACTCAGGAGGCTGAGGCAGGAGAATTGCCTGAANTAAAAATACAAAAAATTAGCTGGGCATGGTGGCGCGTGCCTGTAATCCCAGCTACTCAGGAGGCTGAGGCAGGAGAATTGCCTGAACCCAGGAGGTGGAGGTTGCGGTGAGCCGAGATTGTGCCATTGCACTCCAGCCTGGGTAACAAGAGCGAAACTCCGTCTCAAAAAAAAAGATACTTATCAGGTAGAATTGACAGTGTTTTGGAGATATGGGGTGAGAAACTGAAGAGACAAGGATTTCAAGGCATTTGGATGAATGAAATTGTGTAACTCAGAGAATAATTGAGGAGGAACGGGTTTTGAAAAGAAAATGAGTTCAGTCTGGGACACTGACTTGAAGGTGGCTATAGGACATACAGCAGGAGATACAGGCATTGGGAGTTGTCAGTTTTGTGGGCACTGGTGTGGAGGTACTGATGAGGCCTTGAAGGTCAGGTTTTTAACTTACTCATCTTTCTCCTTCCCAGCATTAATCAAAAAAATTTGTAAAAAAAAAAAAAAAAAAAAAAAAAAAAAAAGATTAAGAATCACTATATTAACTAGAAAAGACTTAAAAGTGAAAATTTCTATTTTTGATTTAGAGAAGTTTAAAGTTTAGTTACATCTGGGAGTTATTATTCTGATTATAAAGTTTTTATTTTGTCAATTTCAGGAACTCTATTTTAAGAACCTCTCAAAACGAAACAAACAAATCATGGAGAAGAATGGAAATAACCGAAAGCTGCGGGTTTGTGTTGCTACTTGTAACCGTGCAGATTATTCTAAACTTGCCCCAATCATGTTTGGCATTAAAACTGAACCTGAGTTCTTTGAACTTGATGTTGTGGTACTTGGCTCTCACCTGATAGATGACTATGGGTAAGATGAAAGCATTTTCTTATTCTTCACTGCACCGGTGTGCTAGAGGGAGCTTGAGTTTTGTAGCCGTACGGGCCCACCTTCAAATTCCAGTTCTGCTGCTTAGTTTTTATGTGGCCTTAGAGAAGTCACATAGCATCTCTAAGCCTCAGTTTCCTCATTACAAAACGTAGTGAAAACATATTGTAAATTATTGTGAGGAATGGAGATCGTGGTATAGAGCATCCATCACAGTGATGCCGCTTAGTAGATGATTGATAAATGGTAGCTATAAATAATATTAATATTTGTTATCAGTTGTTACATTTAGAGAAATGTCACTTATAAATACATATTGTATGAGTATAATAATGTTGATTCCATGTAATCTGTTTTGTGAGTTCTAATGGCAATTCTTAAAACTGGTTTATAGGCCAACAGCATATAAAGTAGTAGATATGGAACAAGATTTTAAAAATCTAATTAATCTACAAGGTAAAGGAGAGAATTACACTACTGTGACCACTGGCATTTATTTTGGTGACATCAGGTTTGTTATTAATCACAGGCTACATTTAAAAAGTAAAGGTTGGGTCAGGCACAGTGGTGCACACCTGTAATCCCAGCACTCTGGGAGGTTGAGGCAGACAGATCACCTGAGGTCAGAAATTCAAGACCAGCTTGGCCAACATGGTGAAACCCTGTCTCTACTAAAAATACAAAAAAATTAGCCAGGTAGGGTGGTGCATGCCTGTAGTCCTAGCTACTCAGGAGGCTGAGGCAGGAGAATCGCTTGAACCCTGGAGGTGGAGGTTACAATGAGCCGATATCACACCATTGCACTCCAGCCTGGGCAACAAGAGTGAGACTCTGTCTCAAAAAAAAAAAAAAAAAAAAAAAAAAAAAAAAAAAAAAAAAAAAAAAAAAAAAAAAAAAGCGAATGTTGGATAATCATTGAGAGAACAAGAGGTATTACATACATCTTGCTATATGTAATAAAAAGGCATCTAGTGCACCCTTGTGGCATGAATGCATTAATGCGGTCTCCAAAGAGAATCACAAATACAAGTATCTGAAAGAACCTTGTGTTAAAATAAAATTGTCCTTTTCAGACTATTCTTTAAAAACAAGTTAGGTATTTGCTATTAGGAAATATTTAAAGAGCGGAGAAGAAACTTAATGGATAGCTCAGGGATCCATAGATTTTGTTTTAAATATGACATGAATTCTGACTATTTAGGAACATCCTGTCGATAGACGAGAAATTTTAGCTAGAGCCTGAGATGAAAGTCTGAGTGAGTTATTTTCTTGCTGTGAGAAAGCCTTTACAGGAAGACTAGTAGAAGAGACATGCTCAGGGAAATTGTAGTAGGTTTCTTATCTGCCTACCAGTTATCAAGAGTGGAAAAATAGTATTTATCTGATGAGATTGTTAAATAGGAAATTTGACTATACTTAATGAAAATGCATGGGTTTTTTTGTTTTTGTTTTTTTAAAGATGGGGTTACACCATGTCAGCCAGGCTGGTCTTGAACTCCTGACCTCAGGTGATCCACCCACCTCGGCCTCCCAAAGTGCTAGGATTACAGGCATGTGCCACCGCACCCGGTTCAAAAATGCTTGTTTAAAGCACATTCTAACACAAGAAATTGGTTGCTTCTGGGGAGAAGAATTGGATGACTGGGAGACAAAAGTGAGAGACTTTTAACTGTGAAATGTTTTCATTTGTTCATTTGTTCAACAAGCATTGTTGTGCCAAGTGGCAAATAAGACAAAAACAAAGTTTCTACTTTCACAGAACTCACATTCTGGTGGAGGAGATAGATGATACACAGATAAATAATAAAAATAAGAGATAATAAAATAAAGGAAAATGCATAATAAAAAATAAATTTATGATCTTAAGTGTTTTCATTACTGGAAGAAAAATTAGGAGAAATTGAACTGAACATACAACTTAAATTATGAAATATTTAGGAAAAAGAAGTTCAGGTTCCAGTAATGACAGGGCAGCTTATACTTGACTACCCTTTATCAACTCTGGAAAAATATTTTAAAAAATAGTTGAAGGCACTGGAGAGCAACCAACAGCAGGCAGAAATGGAAAGAAATTCAATCCGTAAAAGAAGGAACTATAGTTGGTGAGATCCATGTTTAAATAGCTTTTCCCCTGAGAGTATCCCCCAGTCCACATGGGAAAGGTGGGTAGAACTCAGGTAAAAAGCCACAGTTGTTTAGGGTGAGATGCCAAAAAATGGAACTTGGACTGCCCGTAGTGTCTGGAAATTGATGGGAAAGATTCTGGAACTGAGGGAGCCACCAAGGAGAAGCCCTAAAATCTGTACATAAAGTAGATCGGGCACGGTGGCTCATGGCTGTAATCCCAACACTTTGGGAGGCCAAGGTGGGTGGATCACATGAGGCCAGGAGGACTACATGCCTATAGCCCAAGCCACTCCTCCTGAGATCAGGAGTTTGAGACCAGCCTGGCCAACATGGTGAAACCTTGTCTGCACTAAAATTACAAAATTAGCTGGGCATGGTGGTGCATGCCTGTAATCCCAGCTACTTGGAAGGCTGAGGCACAAGAATCGAACCGATGAGGCAGAGATTACAGTGAGCTGAGAGTTTGCCACTGGACTCCAGCCTGGGCAACATAGTGAGACCCTGTCTCAAAAACAAAACAAAACAAAAAAACCCAAAAACTTTTATGTAAACTCCTCTCAGATTCTTGATTGACCACTAAACTGCACATGGATGAGACTCCAAAAATTCTGGTAGAAGAAACAGCTGGAGGCTGAAGAAACTGAGTAGATATTTCATGTGCTGTCCACTTCAGGGAAGATAGTTTGCAGTTTGAGTCCTACCAAGTTAGAGGGGCTTCATAAACACCTCAGACTTTTCACTGAAAATCCAGAAGGGCCACACACCTTAGAGGCAAAAACAATATCCCATTTGCACTTTAAAAGCAAAACTGAAACAGATTCACCCGAATAAAGTGTTAAACCAACCTTCCAAAAGGCGTTTCATTTAACTGCCTATTTAAACAGTGTATGAACTCACCCTGAATTCTTTCTTGTGTGTGGTCTGAGAACCCTCTCTTGGGATCTGGATGGGGACCACTTTCTGGTAGCACTCTTTCCACTATACTATATTGCTTTCCAGATTTTGCAAATAAAACTGTAGTGGGCTGGGCACTGTGGCTCATGCCTGTAATCCCAGCACTTTGGGAGGCCGAGGCAGGCAGATCACCTGAGGTCAGGAGTTCGAGAAGAGCCTGGTCAACACAGCGAAATCCTGTCTCTACTAAAATGCAAAAAATTAGCCAGGTGTGGTGGGAGGCACCCGTAATCCCAGCTACGCAGGAAGCTGAGGCAGAAGAATTGCTTGAACCCAGGAGGTAGAGGTTACAGTGAGCCAAGACCACGCCACTGCACTCCAGCCTGGGCAACAGAATGAGACTCCATCTCAAAAAAAAAAAAATCTTAATCAGGCTGTATACACTTATGGTATATGCTTTTTATGTTTGTAAGTTATACTTCAATTTATTTTAATGTTTCTCACTTCAGGGTTGGTGTTAGATTGCTTTCCTTGTATGTTATGGCTCTGTGTTTAAGAACATGTTTTTATATCTTTATTTCTCTCCTGCTTTAGAAATACATATCGAATGATTGAACAAGATGACTTTGACATTAACACCAGGCTCCACACAATTGTGAGGGGAGAAGATGAGGCAGCTATGGTGGAGTCAGTAGGCCTGGCCCTAGTGAAGCTGCCAGATGTCCTTAATCGCCTAAAGCCTGATATCATGATTGTTCATGGAGACAGGTTTGATGCCCTGGCTCTGGCTACATCTGCTGCCTTGATGAACATCCGAATCCTTCACATTGAAGGTGGGGAAGTCAGTGGGACCATTGATGACTCTATCAGACATGCCATAACAAAACTGGCTCATTATCATGTGTGCTGCACCCGAAGTGCAGAGCAGCACCTGATATCCATGTGTGAGGACCATGATCGCATCCTTTTGGCAGGCTGCCCTTCCTATGACAAACTCCTCTCAGCCAAGAACAAAGACTACATGAGCATCATTCGGATGTGGCTAGGTACGTATCTCAGACTTTAGTCAGTCTAACGGCTTTTTTCATCAGAAAATGTTGCATATATTTCAATCCTTTCCGAAACTATTATGGCTAGAATCTCTGTTAGCAATAAGGCCAAGGTTTTAGTTCATAAACCTTGCCCTATGGTATGACTTTACCTCTCTGAGGTTCACCTTTTCTGTAAAATAGGCTTAATGGATTGATTCTTAAAAATCTCTGCTATATTTATTCAGTGGACTGCTTTTAATACATTAAATATAACATCATGGGGGAATATATGTGTAATATGCCATTTTATTTTATTTATTTAATTTTTTGAGATGGAGTCTTGCTCTATTGCCCAGGCTGGAGTGCAGTGGCATGATCTTGGCTTACTGCATCCTTTGCCTCCTACGTTCAATTGATGCTCCTGCCTCAGCCTCCTGAGTAGCTGGGATTACAGGCATGCGCCACCACATCCGGCTAATTTTTGTATTTTTAGTAGAGATGGGGTTTCGCCATGTTGGCCAGGCTGGTCTCAAATTCCTGACCTCAAGTGATGTGCCCACCTTGGGCTCCCAAAGTGCTGGGATTACGGGTGTGAGGCACCACACCCAGCCATAATATGCCATTTTAATAAAAACTGTAACAATGGAATGGTTAGGAAGTATGTACACCAAGTCATTTATTATATTTATTTCTGGTGTGGGATTATGGGTGTTTTTATTTTTGATTTTCTGAATGTATGTTTTTTAAAGACAGAGTCTTGCTCCATCACCCAGGCTGGAGTGCAATGGCGAGATCTCAGCTCACTGCAACCTCTACCTCCCAGGTTCAAGCGATTCTCTAGCCTCAACCTCCCAAGTGGCTGGGATTACTGGCGTGTGCCACCATGCCTGGCTAATTTTGTATTTTTAGTAGAGAGAGGGTTTCGCCATGTTGGCCAGGCTGGTCAAACTCCTGACCTCAGGTGATCTGCCTGTCTCAGCCTCCCAAAGTGCTGGGATTACAAGCGTGAACCACTGTGCCTGGCCTGATTTTCTAAACTTTTTTACTACAGTGGCAAAATGGTCATTTTTATTTTTAATGCTTTTCTTATAGAATTGTTGGAATACTCAGATTATGAATGTTGGAAACAGTAAGCCATAAGTACTTATTAATATAAGGGATTATGATGATAATTATTAAAATGCAAAAGTCATAGTTGTAGCATTATTCTTGTAAATAAGCCTTAAGTTTCAAAATTTTCCATGATCAGTGCTCTAGCTTCCTAGAAATTATCTTTTGCTAATCAGAGGTTAAAAAAAATTTACAAACAGAATGTCAGTTGGTTAATTTACAGTAAGAGTATACCTAGGGGACAAATCAGGATTAATTCTCTATTTAGGACCTTTCATTGCTAAGAGGCAGATTTATTGAATTATAAAATTAATGAATAGAAAATTGATTTGGTTGGGCCAGGTGTGGTGGCTCACCTTGTAATCCCAGCACTTTGGGAGGCTTAGGTGGGAGGATTGTTTGAGCCCAGGAGTTCAAGGCCAGCCTGGGCAGTATAGCAAGTCCCTGTCTCTACAAATAATAAAAAAATTAGCTGGTGTGATGGTGCATGCATGTAGTCCCAGATACTTGGGAGGCTGAGATGGGAGGATCACTTGAGCCCGAGAAGTTGAGGCTACCTGTGATTACACTGCTGTACTCTAGCTTGGGTGACAGATTAAGACCCTGTCTCAAACAAAACAAAACAAACAAAAAAATCAACAACAACAACAAAAAAAAACAAAAACAAAATTGAATAAGCAAAGAGATTTTGTACATTTTTAATCTAGATTACATTACAACAGGAAAGGAATTGGGCTTTCCTACTATATAACATAATCCATTCTACCTATTTCTGTTGTTCAGTCTGGAGTGCAGTGGTACAGTCTTGACCTCCTGGGCTCAAGTGATCCTACCACCTCAGCCTCCTGAGTAACTGGGACTACAGGCATGTGCCACCACGCCCAGCTAATTTTTAAAACTTTTTGTAGAGATGGGGTCTCACTATGTTTCCCAGGCTGTTCATGAATTCCTAGGCTCAAGCAATCCTCCTGCCTCAGCCTCCCAAACTGCTGGATTTCTAGGTGTGAGCCACTACACCTGGCTCATTCTAAATATTTCTTATCTTTGGACAAATCTGTAGTCATCAAGGGGTCATCTAGATAATGCTGGCGGAACAATCTTCTGTCTCTTCAGTCTCTCCTTTTTGTATGCTTCCAATGAAACGCCCTTGGATTCTGTTCTAATTATACCGTCAGCTCTATATGTATTCTGGAAAACTTGTAATGAATAGAAAATAATCATATGCCAGGTATGGTGGCTCATGCCTGTAATCCCAGCACTTTGGAAGACCAAAGTGGGCAGATCACTTGAGCCTAGGAGTTTGAGAATAGTCTGGGCAATGTGGAGAAACTTTGTTTCTACAAACAGCTGGGTGTGATGGCGTGTGCCTGTAGTCCCAGCTACTCCAGAGGCTGAGGTAGGAGGACTGCTTGTGAGTCTGGGATGTCAAGGCTGCAGTGAGCCATGATTGTGCCACTGCACTCTAGCCTTGGTGACAAGAGTAAGACCCTGTCTCAAAAAAACAAAACACCAGTTTTTGCTGGGCGTGGTGGCTCATGCCTGTAATCCCAGCACTTTGGGAGGCCCAGGTGGGCAAATCACTTGAGGTCAGGAGTTAGAGACCAGCCTATCCAACATGGTGAAACCCTGACTTTACTAAAAATACAAAAATTAGGCGTGGTGGCACATGCCTGTAGTCCCAGCTACTTGGGAGGCTGAGGCAGGAGAATTGCTTGATCCTGGGAGGCAGAGGTTGCAGTGAGCTAAGATTGTGCCATTGCATTCCATCCTGGGCAATAGAGTGAGACTTCATCTCAAAAAAAAAAAAAAGAAAAGAAAAGAAAAAATAAAGAAATCACAGACAGCATGAACAAGTGGAAACATATCCCATGTTCATGGATGGATAGAATCAATATTGCAAGAATGACCATACTGCCAAAAGCAATCTACAGATTCAATGCAATCTCCATCAAAATACTACCATTATTCTTCACAGAATTAGCAAAAACAATTCTAAAATTATTATGAAACCAAAAAAGAGCTTACATAGCCAAAGCAAGACTAAGCACAAAGAACAAATGTGGAGGCCTCACACTACCTGATTTCAAACTATACTATAAGGCCATAGTCAACAAAACAGCATGGTACTGGTACAAAAATAGGCATACAGACCAATGGAACAAAATAGAGAACCCAGAAATAAACCCAAATGCTTACAGCCAACAAAGCAAACAAAAACATAAAGTGGGGAAAGGATACCCTTTTTCAACAAATGGTGCTGGGATAACTGGCTAGTCACATGTAGGAGAATGAAATTGAATCCTCATCTCTTACCTTATACAAAAATCAACTCAAGATGGATTAAAGACTTAAACCTATGACCTGAAACTATAAAAATTAGAGAAGATAACATTGGAAAAACCCTTCTAGACATTGGCTTAGGTAAGGATTTCATGACCAAGAATCCAAAAGCAAATGCAATGAAAACAAAGATAAATAGCTGGGACCTAATTAAACTAAAGAGCTTTTGCAGAGCAAAAGGAACGGCAGAGTAAACAGACAACCACAGAGTTAGGGAAAATCTTCACAGTCTATACATTGTGAAGAAAAAAAAAAAAATCCCATCAAATAGTGGGCTAAGGACATGAATAGACAATTCCCAAAAGAAGATATACAAATAGCCAACAAACGTATGAAAAAATGATCAACATCACTAATGATCAGGGAAATGCAAATCAAAACCATAATGTGATACCACCTCACTCCTGCAAGAATGGCCACAATCAAAAAATCAAAAACCAGTAGATGCTGGTGGGGATGCAGTGACCAGGGAACACTTTTACACTGCTGTGGGAGTGTAAACTAGTACCGTCACTATGGAAAACAGTGTGGAGACTCCTTAAAGAACTAAAAGTAGAACTACCATTTGATCAAGCAATCCACTACTGGGTATTTACCCAGAGGAAAATAAGTCATTATTTGAAAAAGATACTTGCATATGCATATGTATAGCAGCACAATTCACAGTTGCAAAGTCATGAAACCAACCCTAATGCCCATCAGTCAACGAGTAGATAAAGAAACTGTGGTATATATATGATGGATTGCTATGCAGCCATAAAAAGGAATGAAATAACAGCATTTTCAGTGACCTGGATGAGATTGGAGACTATTATTCTAAGTGAAGTAACTCAGGAATGGAAAACCAAACATTGTCTGTTCTCACTGATAGGTGAGAGCTAAGCTATGAGGATACAAAGGCATAAGAATGATGCAATGGACTTTGGGGACCTGAGGGGAAGAGTGGGAGGGAGGGGAGCGGGGCAAGGGATAGAAGACTACAAATATGTTGCAGTGTATACCGCTTGGGTGATGGGTGCGCCAAAATCTCACAAATCACCACCAAAGAACTTACTCATGTAACCAAATACCACCTGTACCCCAATAACTTATAGAAAAATAAATAAATGATTTTAATTATTCAAAAAAAACTGAGTGGAGCTCACTTTTTATGGGATAATATAGGCCCTGTTGATAAACACCTTGTGGTGTTTGGCATAGCACTGTTACTCTAAACTTTTTACATTTTAAATTTTTGCCAAAGAACTGTCCTTGGGATCTCAGCTTAGGGATAAGCGAAACTCTTTAGTCCTTTAACAGCGTTAGAAACATTTGCCACTTGTTCAGTTTGGTAGGTGATGGTACGGGAAAGCTCCTGTGCATTCTAGGAAATACGTTTAATGCTTGTTCAGTCTCAAAATGCCCTGATCTACAACATATTATTTATTCAGATATTGCTGAATATTCATTCGAAACATTAGGTAGAAATTGAGAAGAGTCACATTTTTCGAGTACTTTGGAATAGTTTGGATTTTAAAACAGTGAATTTCTATTGCCTGCTATTTAAAGCTATATTTTATGTTTGTGGCAGCATATCTTTGTAAAATGTTAAGTTTGCCAAATCCATGGATTTGTTGCTGTTAAGTTCTTATCGTTTGACTCTAATTTGGATGCCCTGCTCAGAATTTGACAAACTGTTTCTATCTTAGAATTTTTAAAAGCACAAACTTAGGGTCTTGCTTCCAGAATTTGCTTCTTTCTCTTTTAAGATTCTTAACTAATGAAGCAATGTGGTTTGATTTTCTTTAAACAGGTGATGATGTAAAATCTAAAGATTACATTGTTGCACTACAGCACCCTGTGACCACTGACATTAAGCATTCCATAAAAATGTTTGAATTAACGTTGGATGCGCTTATCTCATTTAACAAGCGGACCCTAGTTCTGTTTCCAAATATTGATGCAGGTAATTGAACTTGAAAATGAAATTATGCCACCTACTTTTTCAAATTTTATGTTTCTATTACTTTTTCTTTTAACTGCCTTCCTGTCTTGCTCATCTTATCATTGAAAGGCCCTCTATTCTGAAATGCATTCCAATTTTCAAAGGATTACCAATTTTGCTATAGCTGAAAAAGTTTGTAATGTTTTTGCCAAGTCCAGTAGAAACTTAATAATAAAAATAGCCAGTCTACTCTCTAGTCTCATGTTTAGTACTAATATTTTACCTCCAGTTTCCACCAGTTAGAAACCACAGTAGTCAAGAGACATAAACCTTAGAAGTTGAAGTGAAAGATGGCGAGGTGCGGTGGCCCACACCTGTAATCCCAGCACTTTGGGAGGCCGAGGGGGGCAGATCACTTGAGGTCAGGAGTTCGAGACCCACCTGACCAAGATGGGGAAATCCTGTCTCTACTAAAAATACAATAATTAGCCAGGCATGGTGTTGGGCACCTGTAGTCCCAACTACTCAGGAGGCTGAGGCAGGAGAATCACTTGAACCCAGAAGGTAGAGGCTGCAGTGAGCTGAGATCTTGCCACTGCACTCTAGTCTTGGTGACAGACAGTGAGACTCCATCTCAAAAATAACAATAATAAAATAAAATAAA